TGTGTGTGTGTGTGTGTGTCCGTGTGTGTCCAGGCTCTTTATGTAGTGTTGCCAGGTTTGTTGGACTGTAATCCATTCCCGGTCGACAGCTCTGAGCCGTGCTGGAAAGGAGGTGTAGGGTTTCCTGAACCTATACGCAGGGTCTTGCAGGTAAGGACACGTATTGTTTTGTACTGTAATATCGGGCAGTTGCTATTTGTCACTTAATCAACGCACAGACTGAATTGAACATTGCTTGATTGATTTTGAGTAATTATTAAAGAATTCGCCCCAAAAAATGATCTGGTTAATACTATTACACAATTACAAACGTTACAACCGCAACTTCGAAAGCCACACAAACGGAAACACAACCACAGATGGATGTTGACAATGAAACGTGCTCGTGTGAGACGTCTCGGCCACCGTAGAACTGGAACACAATACAAGACAAAAGCCAAAATATGACATTGACACAGGGATGTGCTGTGTTTGTTACTGTGTTTGTCACAACAGTGTTTCCGTACTTGTGCGTGCAGGTGTTTCAGAATGCCCAGGAGCTTTTGTATGGTTATGAGGTCCACCCAGAGATCCAGGCTCAGATGTTCGCTTACCTCTTCTTCTTCTCCAACGTGTCTCTGTTTAACCAGCTGATGGACAAAGGTACGGGGCAATAACAAGCACACTCACTCACTCTCGCTTCCATTTGACCTCCCTGAGGATTTGTACAGTTGTTAGTGTGTGTGTGACAGAGAGACAGAGAACCCATGTGTCCTTGTGTCCTTGTCAGCATTTTGACAGAGACTAACCTGGATTTGTCCTCAATGCCCTTCGCCTATCTGCATTTTATCCCCCCCCCCCTTCCTCCTCGCCTTCCTTCCATCTGGCCATCAGGGGGTGAGGCGAAGAAGAGTAGATGTAGGATTGGATGGAGAGAAAGAGAGGAGATAGAGAAGGGGAGGGGCAGAAAAGGGCAGAGTGAAGGGCAAAGGGCTGGAAGGCCATTCAGTTGTTGTGATGACCTTGGTACCAGACTACTACTGTGTCTAAATACAGAAAACGGTCATTTAAGGCCACATATATATATATATATATATATATATATACATACATATATATATATCAACATGTGACTACATCACTTCCAACCTCTCCACACCCGTCCTTTATATCTTCACCTCCACACATACACACACACTCACGAGTCACACACATACCATATGTCTTCATTAGCCAGGGCAGACAGGAGAGATCACATGTCTGGCAAAGAGAGGAGGAGAAATACCTTTATATTCATGCAGAGGCTGTCCCCCACCCCACCCTGTCTCCCACCTCATCTCCACCTCCCTCCCTCTCTCCTCCTCTCTTTCTCTCCGTTTTTTTTTTTTTTGTCGCTCATTGATATTTCACTGCGGATGGTGTCCATGGTAACAGTGAAGTGAGTTCGTAGACGGTAACGCTGATGTTTAGACCTGGTTTTAAAGTCTGGACTGCGTCAAGTACGTCAGTTCACACCAGGTGTAAATGCGTCATAGATGTGTCCCTCCGGTGATCACATCTCACTTCCTCGTGTGTGTGTTTGTGTGTGTGTGTGTGTGTCGGCATGAGTGAGTGAGAGAGGGGATGAATCTCTTGCAGCTGTTGTGAAGAAAGATTTGACCAATTTATTGTATAATTTAAGACTAAGTGTTGATTGTTATGTGGTGGTCAGTGTTCATCCTGTGGCCGAAACACTTAGCGTAGAGTAAAGAGTAAAAATACATTTGATTCATTGTGAATCTCGCGACACATTCCATCACTCAGGATGAATGTTAATGCCAGGTGTAAATAACGCCTTACACACACACAGGTGCTGCTCAGAGTCAGACCTCCTCGGTGATCTGATCCCAAGTGAAAAGCTCTAAGGTCAAGTATGAATGCCCCCAAGATGCTGAGGGTGCATTTGAGATCTGGTCGCTAAGACCTGTGAGTTGTCAGGGACACACGTGGCCACATTTCTTCCAGCAGTGTGAACCTGGATGCCTCCTGGGACCGTCTACTCGGCCGACGTCCTCTGACCAGCTACAGTCTGACAATGAACTGAAATTATTCCTTCACTTTTCAGTGTTTCCCATTTGCTGATTTATTTGTGCCCTCCAAAGTATCAACACTGACGGCCACGTATCGATTTTCATTTTATTTAGCGTTGCAATTGAGTAAAATCTTATTTCATTTCAGAGATGTGTGCAGTAAACTGATAGTCTCAGCATCTTCTAGCCCCACTCTCTCTCTCTCTCTCTCTCTCTCTCACTCTTTCTCTGTCTCTCTCTGGCGCGCTCTGCCTCACACACACACACACGCGCTAACAATGGACCTGCACTCATCCGTCAGTCTGAGTAGCAAAGACTAATAATAATCTGTTGCATCATCAGGGTTGACCAAGCATAAACATCGGACAATGTCACAATATCTATTATTCGCAGGAGAATTTGTGGAGACCAGCTCGTTGTCGGTCTGTTGGTTTTGTGAGTGTGTGTCGGCTTCTCTGTGTTTAAAGGTGAGTGTGTTTTTGTAAACCAGCTGCTATGAAGCATTATGACACCTTTGCTAAGGGGTTAAGTGATGTCTCGTCTGTTTGAGATGCCTCACACGCAGATTACTGTATGCCTAGACATAAGCCTATTACAGAGGGGGCGTGTGTGTGTGTGTGTGTGTGTGCGTCCAAAACATATGGCAGAATATCTGAATGGTGAACATGATGCTGCCGGTTTGTCATCTGTCTTAAAAACTGGATATCAAACCGAAATTCATCTTTAGCACCAGATAAACTGTCAAGTACCGAAGGCTGACATTGAGTGATCTGCTCAGATTCATCATCGTCACCGTTCTCTTGAGTCTGATTCATTTATTTTTTTTGCTTAAATTAATTACAACAAAACAAACATAACATGTCTGAGACACTTATTGATAAAATCTGATTTCATTGTTATCAATTAAAATGAATTTTGTCTTTAAAATTCAGTGAGTGAATTCTCATAGCGAGTCTTTTCCAAACAATAGCTTCTAATTTGGATAAAGATCCTTCACCGTCCTGACGCGAATCTTTTCGAACAAACGTTCATTTGTTGCATTGTCATATTTTGTGCGAGCGGAAGCTTTTTGATTTGCTGAGTAATTTAATCTCCATGACACTCGGGGCCTCGTGCTGGTAGAATTAGGTTAAACAATACAACAATGCTGATTAGTCAATGCACGTAAGATGCTCTCTGATCACCTGGCTGCTCGTGTGCAGATGAATGAATCAGGGTGGAAGACAAAGTTGAGCATGTCTCCATCGTCTGAGGTGGTAATGGCCCTTTAACCAATCAGAGAGCTTGTAAGTCTCTTCTCTTTGATAAAATAGTAAATGTAGTCGGTTCTGGTCCAGTTGTTTGTCATTGTTTGTACCAAAGCCCATCAGAGGCCTGAGCTGAGGGGTGGGGGGTGGGGGGGGGGGTAATTTCACAAAGCTTAAAAAGGCATTATAGCACAGTGAGGTAATGACAGCATGACAGATGCTAGATTTAGAGTGACCGCCTGCTTAACTTGTCACAAACCGTCTCTGAGCTCCTCGATGTGCTGCAGAGAAAGAAAGGATGAGGCAGAGGGAGGAATGGAGGATGTTAGTATTCTGAGAAGAGAAGCAGCTGGTGGCCGTTGCTATTGTTTCTCTGAATATCAACTTAATAAAAAACGAATGCCTCTATTACAGCGTCCTGCAAACCTAATCATGCATAGAAACATCTCTGTAAAATGCTGACACATGTAAGGGGAAAGGGTGATTGTGCGTTCTTTGGAACAGTCTACCGTTCACAATTAAGTTCTGCTTAAGAGTCGACTAAATGTGTGTGTGTGTGTGTGTGTGTGTGTGTGTGTGTGTGTGTGTGTGTGTGTGTAGGTCCATCTCGGGGTTGGTTCCAGCGCTCCAAGGTGCTGCAGATTCAGGCGTGTTTGCGAATGGTCATGGAGTGGGCGAGCAGATCCAGTCTGGGACATCTGGCCGACAAATTCTTCACAAAACTCAACAGCACGGTGTCCATACTGGCCACATCCCCGCAACAGCTCAAACAGGTATGAATATATATGAACAAACAATGAGGACGATCACTTAAAACTCCGGTTCGTCAAGTAAAATAAGCAGAGAACAGTAAATCTTTGATCAGCTGTTCACAAACAATTATCACTCTGGACAGCCACTGATGGTTGTAGTCCAGCACCACACATCCAGTAACTTGTGACTGCCCAGGTTTATAACAAAACGATTAAATAATTTAAAATACATTTGTTCCTCTCTGTCTGCAGCTGAGTTGGAGAGCGTTGTCCAGCGAGCACCCGTCTCTGAAACCAGTGCAGCTGCACAGGATTCTCACTCAGTACCAGCTCACAGCAGAGATCGGCCCTGTCCCAATATGGCAGCCCAGCAGTGAGGACGAGGCGTACATTTACAGAACAGGTACATGTGTGAATGTGTAACAGTGTGTGTGTGTGTGTGGGAGTTTGTGAGTTTATATAAAGCCCTTGTATAATTTTGGCCTGTGGGTTATATAGTCACTTATAATCTGTTGTACTTGACATAGATTAGATAGAATTTCATTCATTGTGTTCTTAAAAAAGTCTTAAATTGAAGAAACCCTGAGTTCATTAACCTGAAGAGTTCACTCACCACAATTAACAAACAGGCGACCAAGAGACTTTCATATAAAACATGTTCATGGACTCATGAAGGAGTTCTGTGTGTGTGTGTGTGTGTGTGTGTGTGTGCGTGCGTGCGTGCGTGCGTGCGTGCGTGTGTGTGTGCACGAAAGCTGCAAAACAGAGAGTGAGAGGCTGATGGAGCAGGTGAAGCAATCCTAGATCAGGCTTTTAATGATGTATAAGTGTATTCATGAGTGTGTGTGTTTTAACGACCGTTTGTGGGATTCTGTGTGTGTGTGTGTGTGTGTGTGTGTGTTCAGTGGACCTCCTGGAGAGCTTTGAGAACCACCCCCCCATCGTGTTGCCCAGCGCCGGCTTCAGAGTGGACTTGGACAGCGAGTGTGTGGAAGACAGCATCTACAGACAGCTGCTCTACGTCCGCCACTACCTGTGGGGGCTACGCACCAAGACGCAGCCACACGCCAACACTCCAGGCGTGCACACGCATTCAAACGGAACCAACACGGCCGACTGGCCGGACGTTCAGGTCACAAGACTCACATGCGCACGTATATGCAGCATACTGTCAAATACACACACCCGGCAGTAATCCAGGCCATGTGCCTCAGCAGCTGTGGCTGTTGAGGAGTTCCTCATAATCCCATAAATGAAAGACAAAAAACCCTCTACTCCAGCGAACACACACACACACACACACACACTCTCAGAAACCTAGACATGGTTAAATCATGGTTAATCTGATTAGTCTTTAGGCTGTCCAATTAGTGGGAACGGCCGACTAGACCATAATCCCGAGGGTTACTGCACCCTCATATGTGCCCACAGAAACACATGGACATCCACAAATATTGCTCAGGTGTGAGTTTGTGATGGTGAATCTGTCTGTAAAGTTATCAATCATTCAAACATGCTCCTTCATCCATCATCCAACCTTTTTCTTTTGTTTTGTCTTCTCTGCGTCCGTGGAACTTTTAAAACCTCGTACCGGCTTCTCAAGTCTTTCTGTTCCCTCCTGACACAGAGGGAGCTGTTGCCTTCCACCCACAACAGCCCCCGCTCTGGAGGTCCAGGGGACGAGGCGATGGCGGAGACAGGAGAGGAGAGAGGACGGGACAGACCCTCAGGCCAAACACACACACACAGCCTCAGAAGGAACGGGACTATTCACCACCCACGGACCGCAAATCCTGACCCGTCCTGCCTCTTGACCCCTCCTAACACCCCGCTGTACCCTGATGGAGGAGGGGGAGGGGTCCTCGGGCCAATCCTAGGCCCCAGCACTCAGACTAACGGCTGCGGCAGAACAGTGGCAGAATGCAAGAAGACCAACGGGCTCATCACCAACGGACTCGAGGGTAGGCTGAAAAATAACTTGAGCAGCAGAGCGCTAGAGCCAAGTTTAAAGAAAACTCATTCCGAGATTTTGAGAACAAAGTAATATTATGAGAAATGTGGGTGTTTGAGATACCATAGCTCCGCTTTTCCCAAATGTTAGAACTCACTGAATAAGATTTAATTTAATTTATGCAAACACCAGGCCAGGGTTTACTGTGGCACTAAAACCCAAATGAATGCATCAGAGAGGACACACTGAATTTTATAACAGCATTAATGAAGCCGTATTTACGGTTAACGAATCGCTTCACGGCCGGCACCCGTGCATCCCTACACAATATATTATCAGTACACATTATACAGTATACAGAGTGCGTAAACTTAACGGCACATTCTATCATACAGATAACGTTTTTAGTGTAACAGTCAATTTCCCGCCGGCTCTGCTCTGTATCTCAGCGATTTGCGAAGACAACAAAACATTACAGAAATATGTTAATAACAACTGCAGACAATCTTTTGTTTTTCTAATTCACCCAAAGCTACGTTCATCGACACCATGTCTATTAAATGGGGTCATTAAATGACAACCAATCCCCCCCCCCCACTCTGCACCAACAAAGCCTTTTAGCCTCCTCAAGCTAAAGAGGCTAATACGTTTGATTCCACAGTCTCTGTGTGATTCAGTCAGACTCAGAGTCTGTAAATAAAGCTGGACGACACATCTCCAGTTCCTCTCACTGTCTGGAAACGATGCCATCGCTGTCCGAACAGCGGCGATCGTGGGATGGAGCTGGAAAAGCTCGGTCCTGTCGTGACGCACGCGTAATAATAATGTCACGAGTCGATGTGAGCCGACGATCACGATGCTTCACCGGGTTTTAATAAATAAATAAATAATTAAAACCAAATGTTCTGGAAAAACAAACCTTTAAACTTTCACCTGTGTGAAAAAAAAGTTATTCACAGTTTTTTGTATGTGTGATTAATTAGCCAAACTCATTAGCTACAATGACGTCATAATATTCTCTTCGGACTTCTTCTGTCCCCTAGTGGCCACAAATTAAACTCCGCTTTAAGCGTGTGCAGTTGTAGCTCAGCCGCGTCACAGAAACGCTCGACCAGAGAAATCCCACCTGTGTTGTCGTCTCCAGTGCAGCGAGTGTGTGACATCTCGTGTGTCGGACGAACTCTGCAGCTGCACCTCTGCATGTGTCTCAGTATCTGTGTGTGTGTGTGTCTCTTCTGCACAGCGAGACCTCTTGTGTTTGTCCGACCCCATAGCAAGACCCTGTGTGTGTGTGTTTGTGTGTGTCTGTGTGGATGTGGGTGTCCGTGTCCTCTGCAGGGTGTATTAGTGGGTGTGAGTTTCCCTTCCCTGTATCCTCCCCTGGCGTCCCTCCCCTTCCTGATGACTTGTGTGTGGTGTTTGTAGTGGAACTGGACAAGGGACCGTACGGACTGGGCATGGGACTCATAGACGGCCTGGTGAGTAGACTGAGTTCATCAGAGACTTTTTCTATTTTCTGATTTACTGTTTAAGATGACATTAGGACCAGATCCTAAAGATGCATATTAAGAAAATCACACAGAATTAATTTATGTCCATCCTCTAAATATAAGATTTATTATCATGTTATGTTTCATCTGTATTTGTGTTTCTTTCATTTGTCTGTTACCAGGAACTAGAAATGTTTTCGTTTCACAAATGTGCAAATTTAGTTTCAATTTAAATGAGAAAGAACCAAAGAAAACACACGAGACCATCACATTAAGGTTTTATAGTTTTAATTCAAACCTGCCAGCTGATGAGAAACAGATATCTTCCATCACTGTGGTGAACATTGATTTCCGCTCCACGCTAACACGTCTCCCTCCTGCAGCACACTCCTCTCAACGCTCCAGGCATCTACATCCGGACTCTGATCCCCGACGGACCGGCTGCCTCCGACGGACGTCTGAGGATCGGAGACCGCATCCTGGCAGTGAACGGGACCAGTCTGATAGGAGCAGACTACCAGAGGTACAGAGGATGTTTATATTAACGTGGAGGGCAGTGTTAACTATACCCTCTACCATCAGCCTCTTCGATTGATTGCTGCGATCGATCGGTGCAAGCCCAGACTGTGACACGCCGTCGTCAGGGCTCTTGTCTCTGCTGAGTTTTGTGTAACTAGACTCTCGTGTTCTCCCGTCTGCTTCCTCCCGTGCAGCGCGGTGGATCTGATTCGTCTGGGAGGAGGCCGACTACGCTTCCTGGTCGCCAAGTCTGACCCCGAGGTTTCCGAGAAGATCAGTGCCTCCTCCTGCTGACCGCCTCCGCCGCCCAGCTAAGAAACGCACGCTCTCCACAGGTAGGACAGTGAGGGGTGCAGATGCGTGTGCCGACGAACACGGTGCACACATACGCACCCCGAGTGCGTGCAAACGCCGCATGAAGTATAAATGCAAAACCTCTAGTCAGCACAAAGCCAATCAAAGTAGAGGTAACAGCTGCCAGACCTGCCCTCACCACACTGACTCCTCCAGGGCCTCGGTGACAGACAGAGCCTGTAACCCACCGTGACGTCACACTAACCTGCTGCGAGGGAAGTTTTCCTCATTAATCGGCGCGTGAGGTGGGCGGGGTCTAACGAGCCAGTCAGAAGTCCGATGTGGTTTAAAAGCACAGTCGACTGAAGGGTTTGTAAGTTCAGTCCGCCCTCGGAGCATGTGTGCACACTGGACTCCCCCCCCCCCCC